AAACAACGCCAACCTACATCTGATCCGCTGCATTAATGACGTGTCTCGTAAACTGCCCCAACCACCACCCCGCATGGACGCTCTCAAAGTAAAAAAAATTATATATATATATATATTCAAAAATTTCATCGGGTTCAGATTGTTTATAATCTTAATTATAGAGAATGCGGTACAATTAGTTAGGTGGAGTAATACCATGAACTTATCTCTGTTGGTCCCATAAATCATATTATCAATTAGATAATTAATATCATTCATGGGTTTCACTAAGCGAAGAATATTGATGGATAAGCTATATAAAATATATACAGCTAAGGATGTAGAGAATCTGGACCCACATGCATACAATTAGAGCATAAGCTTCTTTCCCTAAAGTGGAAGGGTTAAGACACACTAATTCCTACGTGCTAAACATATCATCTTCCATATATAGATCCCTTCCTTAGGGATAGGATTAATTACCGTCAACTTTCTTAGAGGACCCCGTATATAAATTTTCCAACGCACCTCGGTTCAATAAAAAATTAAGAAGAAGTTGGAGACTTTCAGTTGGAGAACAGCTCCAAAATGTTTTCACGAGCCGATGTTAGAGAATTAATAAAGACATATATCGTTGGGTTTGCTTGGCCTTTGTTAGTTAGGCTCATGTGGTGCCTATGAGAGGTATGCGTGTGTCCACAAGAGAGAGGAGAGTGTTTGGATGCATGTGAGAGCTCACATGTGAGGGGATCCCCCACAATCCACCATGCACATGGGTGACATCAGTGGGGGTTTTGGAATGTACACGGAAAATGTTGTCCTTCGCTATCTTTAGTATTCTTGATGTGATCATAAATTACTTAATTATGTAAATTTTAATATTAAAATTAAAGAATATAAAATTATAACCATCAAATTCTCATCACAATTTTAAGGTTGGGATACCAAGATAAATTTTATATGGTGTTCTCAAAATATCATGGTGCTTTTCTCCAAATGTGTTTTTAAAATATCATGGTAAGTGTTTTTTGTCAACAATATAGTTTAACCTTTTTATACCAAATTAGTATTAAACATCTTATTAATAATATTACATACTAAATATAATATAATTACTTTAATTAACAATGTTATATATATATATATATGTATATATATATATATCTAAAAATATATATATATATATGTATATACTACTATATATTTTATATTATATATAATATATATAATATATACAGTCTTTATTAATAAATACATAACTTTTTTTAATGTTATATATATATATATAATATATATATTATATATATATACTATATGAATACTATACTAATATACTATATATAATATATATACATATAGAGGAGAGAGAGAGAAAGAGAGAGAGAGAGAGAGAGAGCGAGAGAAATGGGTAATGCTTGGTACCGCTATGTGCTGTTCTCATCCATCACATACCCCACTGTTAAATCGTGTCCCCGATATGTTGAATGAGTGAGGGGGATGTGACACATCACCTACAAGGCCAACTTTTTGTGCTTGGTAACGCCCTATTGCTCAATAATATATATATATAATATATATATATATATATTATATATATATATTATATTTTTCTATAATAATAATATGTATTATAGTATATAATATTATAAAAAATATTATTATGATATATACATACATTTTATAGTATTATATATAATTTATAGATTATAATGTTATATGCTATACATATTTATAATATATATTATAATATAATACCTAGATATTGTTTTCAAATATTAATATATTTAACTATTTTTACATAAATATGTTACTGTTATTAATATATTAAATTTTTAATAATAATAACATATTAACATTTTCTTTTTATTATTTTATGTATTATTATTATATTAATAGATGTTATAGTATATGTAATTTATCATTAGTAAGTAATTTAATTTTAATATGTAACTATTTTACCATTATTTTATAATGTAATAAATTATGATTTACTATATAATATATTATGAACATATTGAATATATTTATATTCAATCTTTTATTCTTAGAGGATCATTATTTTAGTATTAACTGTTATTATTACATAACATGTTATTCAAAATTAACAATATATTTTATTAAATATATAATGTAATACAATAATTTTTTATTATATAATTCAATATTATATCTTTACTATAAGATTATTTATTAATAATAAATTGTTATTGTTTTGTCAAATATTTTATTTTGTTATTATTTAATATTTATTTAATATAAAAATAGTATTTAAACTATAATTATTATATTATTTTAATTATAATAGTATATATATAATTAATTAATGGTGTTAAACATAGTATTGATATATTAGAAAACTAGTATTATAATGTAATATATTTAAATAATATAATTATATATAATAGTATTTAAATATAATTATTATATTATATTAATTATAATATTATAAGTATTATTAATTAATGGTATTGACCATAGTATTGATATATTTGGAAACTAATGGTATAATGAAATGTATTAAATAATATAATTTAATATTATATTATAGTTTGTAAGAAATATATTAAAATATATTAAATATATTATTAATACACTATATTAACATGCACCCTTCAAACTCAAAACATAAATACCAAACTTGAAACGTCTTTTATATTTTGAAATAAGTGTTGTGTTTTTAGTTTTTAACATTATACCTAACAAAAACAACATCTTTTTCAAACATATTGTGTTTTTTTTTGGCAAAAATATCATAGTATCCAAATGCTAGCTTAAAGTTTCGTTTTAATTGAAGGAATCTTGACATGACGGAGCAATCCAGGTTCATATTTTATTGGATGAGAATTTACAGGTTTTTTCAGGGGAAAAATATCGCTTCATGTGTCCAGAATTTAGCAAATAAAAATGCTTTCAACGCGCATGTATATAAATTCATAATCCTCGATGCTTCATAATTTTAAAGTTAGAATGTAGTGTAGAGATCTTTGACATAATAGCAAAGCAACCTAGATTTGGCACAAATTCTAAAACAAATTTAATAAAATAAATGGATATCGCTCCTCGAGTCTTTCATATGTGAAAATGCACTCAACTTGTAGTAACTTGTTAAGATATAAAACTATAACCTTCAATCCTAATTACTATTTCGAAGTTTTAATACAATGGACGGGTCAACGGTAATAATATTGCAAAAAAATAATAATTTAATTTATTGAAGTAGCTTCTATGAGGAGAATTTATTGAAGTAGCTTTTATCATATTCTATTTTGCTTCTGTCTTTTAATACGTCTTCTAATGTTGATGCAGTCTTAACGCAACTAACATCTTAAATTTGGATCCTCTAATTAAATGGGATCTGAATAATTCTTCAATCTTTATTGTTTAGTGAATTCTAATTTGTCTTGAACTAAAATTAAAGTAAGTGTAATTCAAGAAGAAGAGTATGATCTACTTGTGATTCATTGTAATTTGAAAATTGATCTCGCTAATGAAGTTAAAAAAAAACATACAGAAATGAACAAAAAACAAAAAAAGATAAGAATAGACACCAACCGACGTTTCCCATTAATCAACTGGCCATTATGTTTATCACATCAAAGCTTCACAACAGCCATTGGCAAGCAAATTTTTAAAAAAAAAGGAAAAAAAAGGAACACAATTGCACATTATCTTGAAAATTAATTAAATTCACTTCAGTACTTGTATTCTTCTATTTTCTTGGTGATGTGAAATGTCCCATGGTGCACATGTAGCTGTGCCCACAACAACACTATAAAACCCCAGCAGCCCCCTCACCTTTTTGCCTCACTCAAAGCAAAAAAAAAAAAAAACACACTCTTGATTCTATAGTTGGTTAACTACTTTAACAAACTTAGTCATGGCAAGCAAATATGGCATTATTCTCTTTTCCCTTCTCTTTATTCTAATTATATCCCAAGGAAGCCAGGTTCTTTTCTCTCTCACACACAAAATTTTCACTACTACCTATACAATGTTTATACTATTCAGATGATAAATGATTGTAGCTCTTTAGCTTAATTTATGAACTAACTTTCCCCTTAAAAAGAGTCAACAAGTAGCTAGTTATACCAGTGTTTGGTTTCTGGAAAATCATCTCCATCTCCTAGATTTTTTAAATGGTTTCTATTTTACCCATCAATTAATTCTTTCGGTATGCCTTTTTTTTAAAATGTACTTATATATGTTTATTAGCCTCTCCATAGATACCATATGTTCCATTAATACCAAAACTTGTTTTCTTTATTCCTTTGTATTATTATTATTTTTTTCGTTTGGTTTGTAAAGATACTTAATTTTTCTCAATATTTGTAAAACTGATTAGGTGGGCATTTTGGTAATTTTGCAGGCTAAGCATTCTCATGGACCAACTCCTCAACCAGTGGAGACGCCAACACCCAGTTCTCAACCCAACCTTCCAACGGTGTGAATCTACCGAAGAAAATCTCTAATAAATTATATCGTCTTAAATTGTTTCATATGATCTGGCGGCTAATTTTTCTCGTTGAAATTGGAATATTAATGCAGTACGGAGTCACTCAAGGAAGCCTCCAACCACAAGGTAAGTTTTAAGAGTCTTACTACTCCTAATGAAAATTTACTCTGATCATGATCTTTAATTTTGAGCGTAATTTTTCCATGTCATACGTCGTGCAGAGCAGGCTAAGACTAAGTTCCGATTTCTTAACGTGATAAAATAAAATATTGTTATTTTCGTCTTAGGCGGGCTTAGAAATGCTAGCTAATTAATTTGCCAACTACGTCAAGAAATCAGGGACCATGCATTTAGTTTGCAGAAAATTACAAGTACGTAAAAGATTTGGTACTAAACTGACTATATGTGGTTTTTTTCAAGTATGCGCCGAAACGTCACATAAGTGTTGTTTCAATCATTGCGATAATTAATCCGGCTAACTTTTCACTGTAAGTACTACATTAAGAAACAAATAAACACTAATGATGTTCTTTTTAACGATTTGATAAAGTATCTCGTAGCGTCTAACCATCGAATTATTCACCTGACTGACTAATGTAGTTGGAACAGCATGTTGTTTTTCCGGCCATAAATAATCAGACACGGTCGCCTAATTAACGGTCAATTCCTGCTTTTTTTTCTGAGTGTAGAATGCCCCGGGCGGTGCACGCAGCGGTGCTCTGCTACGCAGTACAGGAAGCCGTGCATGTTCTTCTGCAAGAAATGCTGTGAGACTTGCCTGTGCGTGCCGCCGGGGACGTACGGGAACAAGCAGTCCTGCCCTTGCTACAACAACTGGAAGACCAAGAGGGGAGGCCCAAAATGCCCCTGAACATTAAAAATATATAAATATAAATACGCACGTACCTAGCCCTGCCTATTGTAATGAAGTTTGATGGTGGCCTATCTTAAGGCCCGTCACCTTTTTATTGGAGTGTGGGTTGGCCTGGCCTATGCGCTGTGGCTGATTCATCGTAACGGTTTGGTGTGATCCTGGCCCTGGCTATATTATGGCCCATCAAATATTATTGTATGATGGCTCTTTGTTTTTGTATTAAGATGTTGTATTTCTTTGAAACAGGAGTTAATTAGAAAATTATGGGCGAAGAAATTGTACACTGGCGTTTTATTTTTCTTGAAATTCTAGTACAATAATGGAGCGGAAAGAGGTTTTCCTGTACAGAATATCAAGAATCCTATCCTATACAATCCGCAGACAATGTAAAGTAAGTTTAAATTTAAAAAACAAAAAAAACAAAATCCGGATGTGCCAAAAAATAGAATATTTCACAAACTTCACTCCTCATCGTCCAAATTTCAATGATATGGGTATGTAAAATCTTTTAAAAAAATTAGGGAAAAATGCTTCCAGCCCCCAAAACCCAAGAAAACATGCTCCCCTCTCTCCCATCCCCCCTCCCAAGACTTTGTCAACGGGTGCTTTGCCCCCAAAAATAAATATTTTGTTCTCTGAGCTTCCAAAACACAAAACCCAAGAGATTAAAATATGTGAAGACCATAATACCATTCTCTCTCTCTCTCTCTCTTTATCATGATGTTACTGATATTTGAAATGATTGATGAACATTATTATTTTATTATTTCTGTTTTTTATTATTTTCGTTGTTGATGAGAGGAACTAACTGTTTTGTTTGTATTAGGAGATTGTTAAGGTTACGGGTTTAATTGTTCATGTTAAGGGTTTAATTGTTAAGGTTACGGGTCAATTGTTAAGGTTATGGATCCTCTCTCTCTCTCTCTCTCTCTCTCTCTCTCTCTCTCTCTCTCTCTCTCTTATCATGATGTTACTGTGATGATAATTGAAATGATTGATGAGCATTGTTATTTTATTATTTTCGTTTTTTATTCTTATCATGATGTTGCTGTGATGATAGTTGAAATGATTGATGGGTATTGTTATTTTATTATTTTTATTTTTTATTATTTTCGTATTTTTACAATATTCGTTGTTAAAGACAATAGTTGGGTGTAAAGATTATGCGTTGGTTGTTAAGGTTACGGTTGGTTGTTAAGGTTATGGGTTTGTTGTGTAGGTTACGGGTTTGTTGTTAAGGTTGCGAGTTTAATTGTTAAGTTTACGGGTTTAATTGTTAAGGTTACGGGTTTAATTATTAAGGAAGCATTTGACAACCATAGCGTTTTTACCGTTTTTATTTAAAAAAAAATTGAAACGTGTTTGGCAACCGGGCCGATTTTTTGACTTGACCCTTTACAAAATCCAAAAAATAAACGTTTTTCTTAAAACACCAAAAAGGTGTTTTGAGATTCCGTTTTTTCATCTAAGTCGCCGTCGCCCGCTCGCACGCCCGCCTGCCTTCTCGGCCGGCCGGTCCGTCGCCCGCCGTCCCCACCTGTCGCTGCCTGCCGCTTGCCGCCGCCCTCCCGTCGCCGCTGCTTCGCCGCTCGCCGGTGCCCGTCGGTCGTCCGTTGCCCGCAGCCGCCACTGCTCGTTTTTTCATCTAAGCCGCGTCCGTCGGCCGCGTCGGTCGTCGGCCGCCCGCCGCCACCACCCACCGCTATCGCCGCCTGCTGCCACCCGCCCGCCCCCGTCGCTGTCCGTCGCGCATCCGCCACTGCTCGTCGGCCGTCGCCCGCCCGCCGCCACCACTCGCCGCTGTCGCCGCCTGCCGCCACCCGCCCCCGCCACCGCTAGCCATCGTCGCCACCACCGCTGCCCGTCGCGCCTCCGCCGCCCGTCGCCGCCGCCGCTAGCCCGCCGCCGCCCGTCGGCGGTTCCAACCGGTGGTAGGAGACTCAGTCATAAATAATCTTGAAGGAATAGGTGGTAGGAGACTCAGTCATTAGTGTTATCTTAACTCAACAGATTCTAGAGGAGGAGTCTTAGTTGGTTGGTCTGGTACTTTCTCCTTAATTCAGTCATATGTGGGTATCTTTTCTGTTTCCGTCCACCTTCACCATAAACCAACAAATTAGTACTTTATCTTTACATCAGTGTATGCCCCTACTGATAGGGATGACAGAGAAGTCTGTTGGTGGGAACTAAATCGTATTAGTTCTATTCTTCCAGGGCCTTGGATTCTATGTGGGAATTTTAATGCTACCCTTGCTGCTGATGAGCGTAGTGGTAGGAATGGCTCTTCTAGAGATATCAAGTCCTTTAGGGTTTTTGTTTCCTCTGCATCTCTTATTGATTTGCCTTTATCTGGTAGAGCTTTCACATGGTCGAATAAGAGATTAAACCCTTCCATGGCAAGGTTAGAGAGATTCTTTATTAATTCTGATTGGGATAAGAAATTTCCTTTATGCACTCAATTTTCTCCTCCTGCAATGGGTTCAGACCATTTTTCTATTATTCTTGATAGTGGTGGGATTAAACCACAACCTCATATTTTCATATTTGAGAGAAGCTGACTACATAACTCTAATTTTATCCCCTTCATTTCTAGTTGCTGGAATTCTTTTCAAGGTCAGGGTAATCCCGTGGATATGTTTATTTTGAAGCTAAAACTTCTTAAGAGAATGACCAAGTGGTGGAACAAAAATGTTCTTGGACCTATATCATCTAAGAAGTCAGAGATCTTATCTAAAATCAATTCCCTTGATTTGTTAGAAGAACAAAGACCTCTCTCTGATTCGGAAACTAATGGTAGGCATTTACTCCAATCTGCTTTCACACCCTTGACTAAAAAAGAAGAAAATTATTGGCACCAAAGGTCTCGAGTCCAATGGTTAAAAGAGGGTGATGCTAATACATCTTTTTTTCCACAAAACAGCTTTTTATCATAAGAAAGCTAATTTCATTGCATCTATCTCTTATCAGGGTAGAGACATCATTGGAGATTTTGAAGTTTCCAAGGCCTTCCATGATTATTACCATGATTTATTTGGTCAAGATAATAACAAACAGTTGAATATTGATTGGTCATCTCTATATCCTCAACATGAGAATAATTTGTCTTCTCTAGAAGGCCCATTCACTAACTCTGAAATTAAAAATGTAGTGTTTGGAATGAATGCTAACAAAGCCCCAGGGCCAGACGGTTACTCAATGGCTTTTTATCATTCTTTTTGGGATCTGATCAAGGAGGACCTTATTTCTTTAATATATTTTTTTCATGAGGATCCATCCCATTTGCATAGGGTCAATAAAGTTTTTATCACCCTAGTGCCAAAGCTCAAGGAATGCTCCATGGTTAAAGATTTCAGACCCATTAGTCTCATTAATTACCTCTTCAAGATTTTCTCTAAAATTCTAGCCAATAGATTGTCTCAACTTATGCCAACTTTAGTGGCACCTACACAGTCTGCTTTCCAAGTGGGTAAATCCATGCTTGATTCTATTCTTCATGCTAATGAAATGATTCACTCATGTTAAAAAGGAAAAAGTAAGTAGTTATATTTAAGATAGACTTTGCAAAGGCATTTGATTCCATAGACTGGATTTTTCTTATAGATTTACTGAAAGCAAGGGGTTTTGGAAATAAGTGGTGTGCATGGATTCACCATATCATTTCTTCATCTAATTGTGCAGTTCTAGTAAATGGTTCACCTTCTAAATTCTTCACTTGTAAAAGAGGCCTCAAACAAGATGATCCATTATCTACAATGTTATTTAACATTGTTGTAGATGTTCTCAACAGAATGATTATGAATAATGCTAAGGAAGGTTTATTATCCTCTCTTGGGCTTAAGGAGCCTCTCAATCATTTGAGAATCCTTCAATTTGCTGATGACACTTTTCTTTTTATCAAAATCTCTTTTAAAGACATCTCCATCCTCAAGACTATTCTATATATCTTTGAAGATCTATCAGGACTAAGTATCAATTATTCAAAATCATCACTTATATATTTTGGAAAAATTCATCAAAAAGCTTAAAGGCTCGCCTCTACACTTGACTGTAAGGTTGAATGTCTACCTATCAAGTATCTTTTTCTACCTTTGAGATATGAGAAATTATCAAAATTTGATTGGCAACCTATATTGGATAACCTTCATAGAAAGCTTGCATCTTGGAAGAAGAATTCTTTGTTTTATGGTGGGAGACTTATCCTTCTTAATTCAGTGCTTACTTCAATTCTGTTGTATTATATGTCTTTCTATAATCTACCTACATGACTTATCAAAGAAATTGACAAAGTTAGGAAAAAATTTCTTTGGACAGGAAATACAGATACTATGACATTCAATTGCTTAGTCAATTGGGAGAAAGTTTGTTTAAGTAAAAGAGGGGAGTTAAAGATATCTCATCTTTTAACACTTCTCTCTTAACTAAATAGTTATGGAAGTGCTTAGACATGAATTCCACAACAGGTGATTTTCTACACAAACTCTATGTTACTAAAGGTACTACTCTTCAAACTAGACATTACAATCCATCCAACTCTTCCTTTTGGAATGTTGTGCTATCTCATAAGGAGACTTTCTTCCATAACATAACCTGGACTCTTGGTATTGGTGACAAAATTAGCTTCTGGGAAGACAAGTGGTCTAGTTCCAATTGCTTAGCAAGTTTATTTCCAGAATCCTTCAAGTTAACCCTTTCTTCAAATGTTTCTGTTAGAAGTCAAGGCAAATTTATTGAAAAAGAATGGCATTGGCATCCATTGATGAGAAGAAGTATTTCCTACGCATCTCAAACAGACAGAGTCAAGCTCATGAATTTAATCAGGGAATTTCATGTATCCTCAAGCTCAGACCAACCCAAATGGTCCCTTGTTTCTAGTGGTATATATACTGTTAAATCTTTTTACAATTTCATAAACTACAAAGGTATTACTAGCCTAATTCATAAACTTATCTGGAACTCCATCATTCCTTCCAAAGTATGTATCTTCATTTGGCTTCTTACTATTAACAGATTGCATACTAAGGATGTTCTTCAATCTAAAGGGTGGAATGGGGATATCACTTGTACCTTTTGTGGGGTAGAATCAGAATCTAGAGAACATTTGTTCTATTCTTGTTCTATATCAAAGCAAGCATGGAAGCATTTCACTGATTATCAATTACCTTTCCCATGGCCAATATCCTTGGAAGAGTTTATGACAACCTTAGAGAATTGTCAGGGTATTACGGGACATCTATGGTGTGTTATTTTTGCATCAGTTTGCTGGAGTTTATGGACTACGAGAAA